CTCTTTCACTGCGCATCAAGTGTCTTAATCAACACAGGAAGCACTTACACATTTGGGCCTTCACAGCATTACTCACTGCCTCAGACTCATTCTTTCCATTTCCCTGCTTTATTCCTAGTTCTTCCCCTGCATTCCTATGCCTGACTTGTTCCAGCCTCTTTCTGCTGTCTTTATAGTCATTCATTATCCATTCCATCCATCCATCCATCCATCCATCCATCCATCCATCCATCCATCCATCCATCCATCCATCCACCCACCCCTCCTTTGAGGCATCCTGGGAGCCAGGCTCTGTGCCATGCAATGTTAGGGATACAAGAAGTCATATCTTAGTTATCTCCCCACCCCACGTTTTAGGAACTCTCAGCTTGCAGAGGATAAAGAATATCAAAAAAGTCTACCTGATGCATGCACTACAAGGGACAGCCCAGGGAACTGTTAGCTCTGGAAGGTCCATCGTGTGTGTGTGTGTGTGTGTGTGTGTGTGTGTGTGTGTGTGTGTGTGTGTATCCCTGAACTGTTTCTGCAGAACAACTATTACATCTGCAAAGACCAGCAGGTTGGAGGGAGGTTGGAGTTGAGAATGAATGTATTTATGCCATTTGTTTTCTCAGGCTATATACCACAGGCAGTAAAACAGAACCTGTTCCAAAGGATGAAACAGATAGGTTCTAGCTGGGTGGGAGGGTGAGGGTCGGAGAGAGGAAGGGGTGAGGCTGCAACACGGATGGACGGTTCTTGGGAACTGCAGTGTTTTAGGAGTCCCTGGTTTTTCCACGCATTTTCAGCCTTTTCAACAAGATTAGGTACAAGGGTGCCTCGACATGGCAGCGATGACTTCCTTGAAGGGGAAATGGGAAGCCACATGAATTGAGAGCAAAATCTCTAGAATTGAATACTTGGAAGGATGTCAGCCTCTGAGGTAGTTTTGTTCTCCCTCCCCTTTCCTCCTATCTCCTCTTCTCTCTCCACCCCTTCCCTCCCTGCAGGATCTTAAGTATCCCAGGCTGGCCTCAGAACTCTCCGTGTAGTCAAGAGTGACCACGATCCTCCCATCCTCCTACTCCTACTTCCGCGTTGTGCTGAGATTACAGGCGTGTGCCACCACACCTGCCTTTTCCTCTTCCTACCCCGCCCTCCTTTCTGGTCCTTAAAAAAACATTCTTAATACAGGTGGGAAACAGATCTGAGAGGTGCAAAGTTTGCCCTGACACCAGTTGGGGAGTAAGATTTCCACCTCTTAATCAGCCCAGAGAGAGCGGGGATAGGAATTGGGGTCTGGGGATGTGCGTCTGAGTAGGGGAGGGTCTTCTCAGAAATATTGGGGTTGCCTGTACCACCCTCTGAAGATCCCACCGTCCCCACCCCTTCTCCAGGGTTGAAAAGAGGTGTCTGCGTGAAGATCAACCACTTCCCGGAGGACACGGACTACGACCACGACAGCGCGGAGTACCTGCTCCGTACGTGGGGGTGGGGTGGGGGGTCCGAGGATCCAGGTGGGACGAGGAAGGATGGTGCGAGCACTTGGAAGGAGAGGGGCGGAGGAGGGGGACTGGGCGGAGCTTGGGCCTCACTCCTGTATTAGTTTCCCAGCCAATCCAGGTCCAGATGCTCAGGACCAGAGGGGCAGGCCCAGCGGGGGATCCTGGGTGATGATTGGTCGGTTCGATGTCTATGGCCGGGCAACTTTATATAGTAAAGGGTTGTAGATTGGCTGCTGCTCTGGTCTGGCAATCTGTGGCCCGGACTGACTACTCCGCTGGGGAAGCCCATGCCGCGATTGGGCTGTTATCCCGAGAACGTAGCAAAGCCTTAATTATGATTGGCTGCTTTAACCAAGCTCAGAAATAACAGAATTTGATTGTCCAAGGTTTTAGGAACGAGTGGGAAAGAACGAGTGGAAAGGGAGAAAAAAAAGGGAGGGGGGAGAGATAGAGAAGGATGTACACACAGCGAGGGAGAGAGGAATGAAATATGGAGATACAGGCAAGAGAGGGATGAAGACAGAGAGAAAAAGAGTGGGAAAGAGAAACGTGATAAAGGTGCAGAGAGAAGGGAGAGGAGATGGGGGGGGGGCGCAAAGAAAGAAACTTTAAAAACAGGAGGGAAAATGAGACAAAAAAGAAAAGAACCAGAGAGGCAAAATTAGTGAACTAAATTTAACTAAGCAAAGAGGGAAAGCAGGCAGGAGGCGCCGTGGACCCGGGGCGCAGTGGCCCGCCTGACCGCCCTCGCTCTCTCCTCTCCTTCCTCCTCTATTCTTCCGTTCCCTCAGGAGTGGTCCGGGCCTCCAGCATCTTTCCGATCCTGAGCGCCATCCTGCTGCTGCTCGGGGGCGTGTGCGTGGCTGCCTCCCGCGTCTACAAATCCAAAAGGAACATCATCCTGGGCGCGGGGATCCTGTTTGTGGCAGCAGGTGAGAGGCAGAGGGAAGGGGCGGCGGGCTACCCACGGACGCGCGTGGGTGTCTGCGTGTGCATGGGCGCATGCGACTGAAGAGCCAGCCTGCCCCAAGCGCCCCCTGGGGACCGGAGCTTTCCTAGGCTTCTCCCATGCTGCACCACCTCCAGCTGGGTAAGGTAGGTTTAGGTTTAGTTTGCGCCTGCACAGACTATAGTGTCTGTGGGTAAAGTGGGAGGCAAGGAGGGGAGTTTCCCTAGCTGTCCTAGAGAACTAAGGGAGCCGTCTGGGATGTAGGCGGGGACCTGAGACACTTGGAGTCTAAGGATAGGGAGGTGGCCTTAGGAAGACAGGGACTGAAGAAGAAGACATTGACCTGGGTGGATACTAAAAGGGGCTGGTCCTAAGAAAAACCTCTAGGCCTCTCTGTGAGTAGAGACCCCTTTGAGAGGTTGAATGATGCTTTCTTAGGGGTCACATATCAGATATCCTGCATTATGATTCATAACAGTAGCAAAATTACAGTTATGAAGTAGCAGTAAAAATAATTTTATGGCGCCGCATGGCAGGGGGTGGGTGGTGGGTGGGGTGGGGTGGTGGGTCACCACAGCATGAGAAACTGTATTAAAGGGTTGCAGCATTAGGAAGGTGGAGAACCACTGCTCTAGGCCTAGGAAAATGAAACTGAAGGTGGGAAAGGCTAGGCTTTGCCTATTTGAGGAGGAAGGCCATTTTCTGGAAATTCAAAAGGAGAGAGGTTATGCAAGAAAGAAGCTAGACCAAGGCCAGAATGTGGGGTTGGTTACCGCAAGAGCTAGGGCCTTGGGTTGTGCATGTGACTGGGTTGATAGTGTTCACAAAGCCCTGGATCCCATCCCCAGCCACATACAGCCCCATGTGTAATGCCTGCCTGTAATCCAGGAGGATCAGAAGTTCAAGGTCATCCTTGGCTACATGAAGAGTTTGAGGACTGCCTAGGCTTTGTGAAGAAAATATCAAAATAAAGACATCCCCCCACCCCAAATAAAACTGGCCTAGGGTAGCAGACACCAGCATAATGAATCTTAAGGAGCAGAGCTCAGACCCACTTGTTAAGGGTAAGATTAGGGCTGGAGAGTGGGGTAGAATGCAGAAAAGGCCCCCTTCTTCTACACAGGGATGTAGTTTAGGCCAGTGGGAATGGGGCTTGCTTTAGATCCCCAGGATGGTTTGGACCAATGGGTAACAGGATTTATCTCCCCCCCCCCACACACACACACCATGGTGGAGACTGGATTAATAAGGGCAGGGCTTACAATCCTAGAAGGAAGTTTAACATATTTAATAGGCAGAGTATGTGTTGTGGAGAGGGGTGGTCTAGACCTGCTCAGGGAGGAGCTGGTTAGGTCCGGGAGAGGTGAGTGGCAGAGGGCCTGGGGATTAGAAACTGGAGGTTGGGCCGGGAGCAGAAGGGAGATTTATTCTAATAAGAGCAAACGTGAGGCTGGCAAGGGCGGACTAGACTCATTACCTAGGCCAGCGCTCTATCGTGCAGGGAGGGTTAGGTCAGCAGTGGGCGGAGCCTAGAAATTTAAAGTGGGATTACATCCTTAGCAGCAAAAAGGAGCAGAGGGAGGAAGCTGCGGAAAACACGGGTTTACACTTCGGACAGGACCTGCAAACCAAGCCTGGGACTACATCACCAAAGGTGGATTTGAGACCAGTCAGTGTTGGGCTTAGATGTGCTAGGGCCGAGTTTAGAGCCATGAGGCTAGATAAGGGGCAGAACCTGGACTCCCTGGGGGTGATTAACCTAGGCTGAGGGAGGAATCAAGATCATTAGGACAGGGATGGTTTGTTCTCAGCCATTGTCAGGACTCTCCGAAGTAAGGTCTGAGTCTTCTTGGGGGCAAGGCCTTGGCCACATAGGGGTGCAATTTAGACCCATGTAGGTAAGGCCTGTGGAGCTGGGCTTGATTAGATTTCTGAAGTAGGGGTTTAGACCAATGACAGTGGGACTCAGATTCCTGAAGACGGCTTAGGCCAATGGGAACAGAGCTTGAACTCCTCTGGTGGAGTTTTGACTCCTGGAGGCGGGCTTAGATTCTTGAGGTGGAGTTAGCCCACTGGAATGGTACTTACACTTCTTGGGGGTGAAGTTCTGACCAGTGGCAGTGAGGCTTAGGCTCTTTGGGTGGGATTTAGTCCAGTATGGGTGGGGCTTAAGTTCTTGGGTGGAGTTTAGCTAGCAAGGCTAAGACTGCTGGAGTAGAATTTAACCCAGTGGGAACAAGGGCGGGTTTAGACTCCTGAGTGGGGTTTAGGCCAATGTGGGTGGGGCTCGGACCAGGTGGGCAGGACTTAAGACTCCTGAGGTGTAGTTTAACCAAGTGGGAACCCGGCTTAGACTCCTAGAATAGTTTTTAGCCTAATGGGTCTCTGGGCTTAGACTCCTGGGATGGAGCCTGGCCCAGGGGAGGACCCGGTTTAGACTCCAGGGGTCTTAAGACAGCCAGGGGACCGTAGGCCCTGGCGACAGCGGCCTCGAGGCTCCCACATGACCGTCTCCATCCAGGCCTGAGCAACATCATCGGGGTGATCGTGTACATATCGGCCAACGCGGGCGAGCCGGGCCCCAAGAGGGACGAGGAGAAGAAAAACCACTACTCGTACGGCTGGTCCTTCTACTTCGGCGGGCTGTCCTTCATCCTGGCCGAGGTGATCGGCGTGCTGGCCGTCAACATCTACATCGAGCGCAGCCGCGAGGCGCACTGCCAATCTCGCTCGGACCTGCTCAAGGCCGGCGGCGGCGCGGGCGGCAGTGGCGGGAGCGGCCCCTCGGCCATCCTCCGTCTGCCCAGTTACCGCTTCCGCTACCGCCGCCGCTCCCGCTCCAGCTCCCGAGGCTCCAGCGAGGCGTCGCCGTCGCGGGACGCGTCTCCCGGCGGCCCCGGCGGCCCGGGCTTTGCCTCCACGGACATCTCCATGTACACGCTCAGCCGCGACCCGTCCAAGGGCAGCGTGGCCGCGGGGCTGGCGGGCGCCGGGGCAGGAGGCGG